AGTGAATAGATGAATTAAGTAGAATGAATTAAAGAAATAAAAACTGCCATGTGACACACACATACATACACACATAGTCCTAGTAAAGAGGCACCGAGCTAGGAGGAGTACATTGGAATGTGAATCATGGCCGGAGAAGATAAGGATAGCTGGATCTAGAGAATGGATGGTAGGCCATCTGCGCTTACAAGGGCATGAGACCTACTAGCAGGAGAGATAGACCTGGGATAATTGGACCAGGGGAATGGATGGGATACAAACTAGTAAAAAACTGAGAAAAAAATTAAAGTGAGCAGGTCACATGGACAGAGTTAGAAAGAAGGACTGAAACTTCAGGGACATGAAGTCATGTGGTTTGGTCAGGCTAGATAAGATGGAATAAGAGGAGTATTGTTCTTTTGCAGAAGCTACCCTAGTTGGTACAAGGAGAAATAACTTGAAGATAGGGAAAGAATGCCTGGGAAAAGTGCAGAGAGCGGGAAGGAAGTCATGAAAAAAAGTTAGAACACAGATGGCTGGCGAAAAAGGGTATAAAAATCAATAGCCAAAACTAGTTTTTTTAGAGCCACTGAGGAGTCTCTGGAGAGCCTTTGAGGAGGCTCTGGGGAGCCTCTGGAGATAGAAAGGGGACAAACCTCTACGGGAAGAAGAGTGCCTTTGAGGGAAAGAGGACAAGTCCAGCTCTCGCTGCAGTGGACCGCAAAGAGGACAAGTTCAGCCTTGTCGGAGTGGATAACCAAGAGACGTTTGCAGCCAACAGCAAGCCAGAGACATCTGCAGCCAGCAGCACGCCAGAGACGGTGTTTAACTTTTGTGCCAGCCTTAGAACTTTGTCACAATTTTTCTGCCTGCTTGGTAGTATCTCTCTTACTTACTAAAACACACACCTAACATACATACAAAACAGTTAGATTATTCAGGCACATTTTACATATCACATAATTTTTTTATATATGTTTAGAATTTTAGTATTGAGTGTATCTTAAGATAGTGTTTTAGTAATATATCTTGTTAAGATAGTGCTTTAGTAGTCATTTAGTAGACATCTCCTCAGTCCACCCTCCCATGCCTCGCCCATCCTCTCCTCAAACTCCAACTGTGAGGAGATGGTGGACTTCCTCGAATCCGAAATCAAGGGGATACGTTCAGCCACCTCTGCCCGTCGACAGCCACCCCCACATCACTTCTCACTCATGACCCATCCCCCCCATATTCCTTCGACCTATCTCTCCCTCCTTCCTCACCACAATTGTCTGCAAACTCAAACCGACCACCTGCTCCCTCAATCCCATCCCCATCTCTCTTCTCATCTCCCAGCTCAACCTTCTGGCCCCTCTCCTGTCCGACATCATCAACCTCTCCTTGTCAACCGATTCAGTTCCCACCCACCTAAAAACAACCGTCATCACCCCCATCTTGAAAAACCCTTCCCTGGACCCATCCCTCCTCTCCAGCTACCGCCCCATCTCAAACCTCCCATTCCTCTCCAAGGTCCTGGAATGAGTCGTCACATCCCAGCTCTGCTCCTTTCTTTCTCGCCATTCCCTCTTTGAACCCCTCCAATCCGGCTTCCGCACTGCCCACAGCACAGAAACAGCCCCAGTCAAAATCGCTAATGACATTCTGAACATCTGTGATCAGGGATCCCTCTGCCTCCTTGTCCTCCTCGACCTCTCTGCCTCCTTCGACACTGTTGACCACTCCATCCTCATACACCGCCTCTCCTCTTTACTTAATCATCACAGACCTGCCCTTGCCTGGTTCGATTCCTATCTCTCTCACCATCTCCACTTTGTTGCCTCTAACGGTTTCTCTTCCAGCCCCCACACTGTCACGTTTGGCATCCCCCAGGGGTCTGTCCTTGGCCCTCTCCTCTTTAATATCTACATGCTCCCTTTTGGTGACATCATCCGCAGACACAGGGTCAACTTCCATATGTATGCGGATGACACCCAACTCGATCTTTCTGCCTCCACCCTCAACTCCAGGACCACTGCTGTCCTGACAGACTGCCTGTCAGATATCAAGTCCTGGATGAGGGCAAATTTCCTACAGTTGAATGTGAACAAGACTGAGGCCCTCCTGATTGTCTCGTGCCAGCACCTCAGGCTCTGGCAACATCAACCTCCATGGTTGCACACTTCAACTCACTGCCAGTCAGGAACCGAGGTGTCTTGTTTGACCCTCAACTGTCTTTTCTTCCTCACATCCAAGCCATGACCCGCTCTGCATTCCCTCACCGCCGTAACATCGTCTGACTCCGCCACTACCTCACTCCTCAGGCCGCTGAAACTCTTGTTCATGCCTTCATCACCTCCAGGCTCAACTATGGAAACACCCTGCTTGTCAGTCTTCCCAACTCCTCCCTTCATAAGCTGCAGATAATCCAGAACTCTGCAGCCTGTGTCCTCTCCCGCACCAAACTCCGTGACCCCATCTCCCCCATTCTCGTCCAACTCCATTGGCTCCCTATCCTTCAGAAGATCCAGTTTAAAATCCTGGTCCTCACATAAAAGCCCTCCATGCCTCGCCCCACCCTACCTCTGCGACCTCGTAACCCCCTACCAACCCGCCCGCTCCCTCCGCTCAGCCGGCTCCGGCCTGCTCCACTTCCCCTGTCCCACCTGTTCCACCATTGGCAGGAGAGCCTTCAGCCACTCTGCCCCCAACCTCTGAAATTCCTTCCCCCAATCACTCCGCCTTGCCGCCTCCTTCAAGTCCCGCCTCAAAACCCTCCTCTTGGACCATGCCATTGGCCACCCTCCTTCCCCTCCCCTCCTTTCTCTCCCCTGACCCCAGCTTGGGTCTGAAATGCTGTACAATGTCCAGCGCCTTGGGACATCCTCCCGATGTGAAAGGCGCTATACAAATGTAATCTTGTTGTTGTTTAAGCGCGACGAGTAATGATAATGCGTTGGGTGTAATGTGATGCTTGTGTAGTTTTATAATTGCTAATAAAATGTTTTAATAACATCCTTGATGTGGTTTCTGACTAACGCTTGAACCCAATTTCACACCATTGCCGGGTAAAGGACAGAGTTGGGATCCAGTTGCGCTCAGTTCCAAACTGTGGTGTCAGTCCGCCATGAATGGGAAGTGAGACTGTTGATATTGTGTTGTGGCACCGGGTCAAGATGCTGGACGTGCGAGCATGAGTTCAGAATTAATAGTGTATATGTTGTATGTATTAGCATTAAAAGGCCTGTAGCAGCATTAGGAATAAACAATCCAATAAAATGTCCGTATTCTACTTGTTGTCTGGTACAACAACAACAACAAGATTCCATTTATAGAGCGCCTTTCACGTCGGGAGGACGTCCCAAGGCGCTGTACAGTTGGGTCAGGACCCGAGCAGGGGGGAAATGGTCAGGGTGAGGGGAGAGAAAGGAGGTAACTTTGTTTACAACTGGTATGAAGATACTATGTTGATTCCAGAAACAAAAAAATCTAAATATTGTAGTATGTTATTCTAAGGATCTTAAAAAGAGATTTGGCTCTTCATGGGACGTGGGCCTACCACCTTCACCCACAAATATTAATTCCTGCACTTTACAGTAAATCCTCTGAAGGTTGTGAGATGACCTCCTGATGCGAAAGGTCCTATACCAAATGCTTATTATCATTAGAGTATTCAGGCTGATGTAGACTAAGGCATGTGTCTACAAATTACACTATACAATATCAAATCCTGATAATTCTACACTATTATCAGGATTATTTATTTATTCTCTCCACACTTACTCGTTGAAATCTGGATCTCCATGTTACCTCTGTGGCCAGTGGCATCTTATTTTGGTGTTACTGAAAACACTCAAGAAGTACACGCTATATCAGTGAAGATCAACATTTTTGGTCGGCCAACAAAATATATTTTCTTGATTGTATATTCCTTGTTTTATACTCTAAATCTAGACTATGATGTCTTATCTAGACCAGTGTGAATGTTTGGCAAGCCCCTTCCAACCCATTGTATAAATGATCTGTCATCTATATTGTATAAATGAATTTTTTTGAAGATTGTTTTGACCCAGGTAGTCATATTAAATATAGATTTATTAATAAAGAAACTGCAGAAATATCTAGGTAGGTGGAAATTATGTTAGTTTGTCTGTAAACTTCTGTACAGTCAATTAAGTGATTGTTTTTCCCGAGATCTGCAGATAAATAGCATTGACTATAATGATACAATAAAAACAAGGACTGATTTCACAATACTTGTACCTTAGTTCAACATTGTATTTAAAAAGATAACACCTCTGACAATACACTGGAGTGCCAGACTATGAATGACATACTTGTATAACAATGTTAGTAGATCTGTTTCTTGGTATTAGTCTTGATTTATTTCCCCCAACTAAGCCACTAAGTAACTGACACTGATGAGGCATCACTGTAAATTACAATTACAGTAGATAAAGATACCATGTGGGCATATGAAGAGGATGGAATAAGTGGACAATGAGGGGGAAATTACAAGGTGTGATGTGACAAATATCATTGGAGATAAATATCACGTTATTGAATAGACTGATGAACACAGTCTGTAGGCTGAACATAAAATTACCTTTATCTAAACTGTAGAGACAGATATTTTGGGGTATAAAATGTGAGAGTCATAGCTATTTGTGGGAACTTATGGACAAATGGCTCCATGTTCTCTTTCACAATCATTACACTCAGCAGTAAATGTTCATGAAGTTCAATAGAATTGTCCAACGTGATAAGTAACTTTAAAAATGCAACTTCTTTCTCTTTTCCTCATCCCAGGAAGCATTAGGATACACTGATAGTGGGGCTGTCTTATGGGAGCATCTATCTTGCTGGGAATATCCATCTTGTGATGTAATTGGCTTCCATTTTACAGCAAAATATTGTTTCCTGCCACAACAAGCTTCCTTTTAGGATTTTCAGGCCAGCTAGCGGACGTGTGCTTGTACAAAAGCATGCACTGCTCCTCTCTGAACTTTGTCCACTGTTCATTGTTTATTTTTGACTCTGGTATTCAGCATAACAAACACTCTTCCACAATCTCACCATGGATCCTTTAGGCAACTGTGCGTTACTCTGCTCCTTCTTTCTACTGTTCTCTTTTGCTCAATCTGCAGGTAAGTTGTTGCTGGGCTTTCCTATCATTCACAGTAAGCACACAGAATTGATGTTTACTTAATCTTTGGAGTGTTAAGTATTGCATGTGTACTTAGAAATCAGACGCTACTTTGTTAGATTGGTTTAAATTCTAGATTTTAACAGCAATTAAGTGTTGAGAGATCTCAGATGGCAGCTAACCTTATCCAATTCACTTCACAGCAGATACTGCAAGCCTGGGTGCCTTGTTTGTAATGGAACAGTGGTTAATTTGTCATTCAAGCGCTCTGAGACACCGTCCGGCGTGGAGGGCGCTATATAAATCCAAGTTGTTGTTGTTCTTTGTAGGACATTGCTGTGCTCATACTGGCTGCCGCATTCACCAACAAAATATACAGTCACACCACTTTACAATATATACTGAGCAGCACTTTGAGACATCTCAACAATGTGATAAGGCGATATATCAATGACAAGGATTATTATTATTGTGGGACATTGCTGTAACTATTGCCAACAAAGAAAGTTCCTACATTGGTAATAAGTGCCTGTTTAGCACTTGATCGATGTTTTGATGTGTTAAGGCACATGCAGCAGAATCTAAATTATTTATTTAATGCTCCTGGAAATGGTTGGAGGACTGCTCATAGAGTGGAACTCACAAGCTGGGCTGTGAGGGTAAACTAAGGAGAACGGTATAGATCACACAACAGGTAAATTTGGAAATAATTCTGCCACTCCAAAATACCAGATCAAATAGTTTTATTCACTCCATGGCTGTTGTGGGACATTGCTGTAATCACCTACAATCACACAGTAACTACACTTCACAGTAAAATCATTTGAAGTACTTTGAGATGTCTCATGACATGATGATAATAATTCTTACATTTTGAATAGAGCCTTTCATGCCAGAAGGACTTCCCAAAGCGTTTCACAGGATATAATGTACAGTGCAGTGACTGGATGTTTTGTGAGCGAACGTGATAGCCAATTTGTGCACAGAAAGCTCCACAAACAATAATGAAGTGAATGATCAATTTTATTTGGGGAATGTTGACCAGGAGATGGGATTAACTCCACTTTCTTTTCTAATAGTTTAATGTCTCATCCGAGGATGGCACCTCAAATAATGCAGGATATCCAACACTGGATGAAGTGCCATCTTAGACTATATGAGTTTGAACCCACAACCTTCTGAGTCTGATGCAAGAGTGCTATGAACTGAGCCAGGTTGATACTCTTGTGATAAGGTGATTTATCAAATGCAAGATTATTATTTTATTCTTAGAACCATGAGAGATCTTTCTGAAACTTAGTGATTGTCTCAAGACACTGTGAGCTGCATGGCTGTTAATCTACATGCTCAATACAGTTTGGGAGCGGTTGGTAGATGGCTGTGGTGGAGTGCCATAGGATGGTACAATGTGAGTTCCCATCATTGATTGGAGCAGTGAGGAGTTATGCTAATGGTCATTTACATGTTCCCACTGGGCAAGTGTTAAAGATAGCGGCAGCTCACTCCATATTCCCAAGTCACACAGAAACAGAGACCTAGGTAAAGGTTGATAATGTTCATTTTCAGTTGATAAATAAGGAGTAATGTGAGCCCTATAGAAGTGGTTGTTTAAAAAAGAGCAGAGCACAGGGTCGGCAGACTATATGTTCAAAGTAAAGAAACAGAAAATTTATTTGCTGACTGAACAGAGAAACAGGAAAGACATGCATCTCTGAATGAAACTGGATTCTACCAGTGAGCTTTGAATTTGGATTGTCAGGGGTATCCAGCATAGGTTGGCTATGCTCTGAACCTCTGGAACTCCCTGCCTCAATTCCTCCTCCTTGCCCCTTCTTTGCTGATCTTCAGATTGTACTCAAAGACTTTCCTCTTTGCCTGTGTCAGCAGTTACATCTCCTTTCTCCCCCGTGTGATGCCAAGCTATTCCATTGATAAGCACTTCAAACACTCTGGGACTCTACTCTGTGTTAGAGGTGCTATATAAATGCAAGTTGTTTTTTACTCCTTTCCCTACAGGAACAGTGTTAAATCAGAGGACAGTCTGAATTGCTTGTATTAAAAAGACATCAGTGATTTTAGGCAGAAGAATTCTCAGTGTCATATATTCACTACATGTACAATCCCACACATAAACACCTAATCTCATATCTTCAGATGATCTGAAAATATAATATTGTACTCAATACAAAGCATAGGAGAGGTTATGCAGGAAGAGTGGATCCATAATCCTGTCATATTAATTTAGGAAATTCATTATTATTTACATTAATTTAGGAAATTCATTATTATTTACATTAATTTAGGAAATTCATTATTATCTACATTAATTTCCAACAATGTTCTGCAAATGGCTCATCTGGCAAATTGATCTAGGATAATATACTGTATATTTTAGATTTCAATTTAATTTCATTCTAACGTATGGATTTAACATCTGTCCCATCTAGTTTTCGTACAGAAGGCAGAGGCAAGTAGTCTTCTTTTGCAAAGACGCAGACGGGCCAATGTAGGTATATTTGAAGAGTTCAAAAGAGGTTCTATTCAGCGGGAATGTCTTGAGGAAGTGTGTTCGTATGAAGAAGTCAGAGAAGTATTTGAAAATGAGAAAAGAGCTGTAAGTGGTACATAATTTCATATTCTACATTTTTTCCAAAATTCAGATTAAGCTTCACTGCCTCAGAATCGGTCCTTCACCACATCCTTTACCATATGTCATGAATGTTTATAACCAAATTGAACAATCACATATGACATTAACTTGGAGTTATTCTTTATAAGAAACAGGTAATTATTGCTGAGCTTAACGTCCTATGTGAAAGGTCCTCCATAGGTACAAGAGAGGAAGCTCTTGTGATGTTTTCAAATTTAAATAATCTTTTTTAGAAAATCAGAAACTATTGTGAAACTACTGCCTAACACAAAGCATTTGGAAAGTTATTCAGATCTGTGTGCTGTATTGGGTAAAAATAAACCGAGAAAATAAGCTTTGGGGTCTTTCTTTTCTGTGTCTTCATTGCTTTGGAGTTGCGCTTGAAATGTTTTTTTGACCATGGATACCTCTGCTAGGATTCCCTTCTTTTTCTCTCTCACTTCCTTACCTTGCTCTTTGTTTTCTCCATCTACTTTATCTTCTCCGTTTTCCATAACCTCCTGTCCCCTATTTCTTTCTCTGCTCCCTCCTCCTCTCCATTCCTTCCCTCTTTCTCTCTTCCTTTTCCTCTCTCTCTTTCTCACCTCTGTTTCTCTCACCCTCACCACATTCTTTATCTCTTAACCTCTTTCTACCTCTTTCTTTCCCTCAGCATTTCCATTTTATTCTTTAACATGCCTCTTTTAAAATTCTCTGAGTGGCCATTCCTCCTGTTTCAGCCTAGTCATTAAATATCAGCAGTCTATTTGAACCACTGGAGGAAAAACATCACAATTGACACTGATTCTATCCTCTGAGTGTGAACGTGCATACTTGACAGGACAGGTCACTGGATAGTGACTAGAAGCTGGAAACACAAAAAAAATTAATTTTATTTGGAATAATCTTGTACATAATATATCAATTTAATCATAATATATAAAATAATTATTGTACTGAAGAAATTGTATGGTTCTGGTGTAGCAGGTTTTAATACGTGGTATCGCAGACATTTTCTGCATTGTGTGATCACTTCATCTACTTTATCTTGATCCCCACCCTCTGGAACTCCATCCCACAGTCCCTCCGTCTCGCCCCCTCCCTTGCCTCCTTCAAAACCGTCTCGACCCTCTTCTTCAACCGTGCCTTTAGTCACCCTCTTTCCCACCTCCCAGGCCTCCACCCTCCCTGATCCCTACCCTGAGCTTGGGTCCGAAACACTGTTTGTCCAGTGCCTTGGGACGTGCTCCCGGCGTGAAAGGCGCTATACAAATGTAATTTGTTGTTGTGTGATCACTCACACAATGAGCCAAATGGCTGCCTTCTGTGCTGTACAATTTCTAAAATGTGTATGGTTCATTGAGCTCATCGCTCTTGAATATGTGACTTGTCAAATGTGTTTGGCTGTTTGCGAGACGGATTGCTGGTACCTCTGATGGAAATGCATCATTTGTGAACGCCTCAATCGAACATTGTTCAAATGAGCAATTTATACACTTATCTTTTTTCTCCTTTCTCAGATTGAATTTTGGAACAAGTACAAAGGTATATTTTTTCTGAATTCTCTTCTATTTATGGATGGTCTCAGTAAAATTACTGGAGAATCAAGGATTGCTCTACCAGTTCTGCACTTTTAGACCTGAGCTAAACCTGTATTACCTGAAATGGCACTGAAAAATCTGTACTTGGATCTGTGCAATGGTAGGATCAAAGATACTGCCAGGTGACTAAGTGGTTGCAGTTAGTGGCTTTGAGCAGAAAGAATTGAATGAAGGTGGGTGACTGTTCACCCATGATAATATTAATCCTTGTATTTGATTTAGCTTCTTAGCATGTCATTGAGATATACTTCAAGGATTTACTGTAAAGTGATATAACAATAACAACAATGCATCAGTTATTCTTGTTGTTAAAGTGGTATGTCTATGTACTATATGGGCAAACAAGATAGCCAATGTCCCAAAAACAGCCATGGAGTGAGCAACTAATTTTCTTTGGGGGATTATCCGCCAGGATACCAGGAGAAACATTCGGTGATAATTATCGACTGAGAATTCTCCAGGAACAGAAAACCCCACCTTGTGATAATTTTCACCTTTGAAAACACAATTTTTCACCCCATAACAATTACCTTATGAAGCAGCATGGAATCCCTGCACTCCACAACTGTCAACGGTGGTGCCCGGTATGCCATTGATAAGAACAGAGGGCATCAAATTCTTTACATTTCTGGACCAACTATTGTGGCTGGTGGTGGGAGTGGGGAGGAGGATTCACCGTTTAGTCAGTGATCATTTTAAAATTTGATGCTTTTTCAGACAATGATGCATGTAAATCAAATCCCTGTCAAAATGGGGCAAGATGTCAGGATGGGGTGAATAACTACTTATGCTGGTGTGTGGATGGATTTGAAGGCTGGAATTGTGAAATAGGTACGTGATAAACAAAACTGATACTACTGAGTAAAAACAGAAATTGCTGGGAACACTCAGCAGGTCAGGCAGAAAGGAAAGTGAGTTAATGTTTCAGGTCGATGACCTGTCGTCAGTACTAGCAGTAGTGTAGACTGATAGTACTGTACACTGAGTGTCCTCAATAATAGCATAGTGCTCTTCACTCGGGGTAGCGTCCTGCCGTGCTTATTAACCAAGCTCTAAGTGTGTATAAAATAAAATATGCAGGGTATTATCTGTATTTTATGCACACTTAGAGCTTGGTTAATAAGCACGGCAGGATGCTAACCCGAGTGAAGAGCGCTATGTAAATGCAAGTTGTTGTTGTTAATGTTTATATAGTAGGTATCATTTCCACTATCCAGATGTACAAATGACAATGTGTTATTTTGTGTACTTAAGCCAAGAAAACAGAAATTGATTGCAATTTTGCTAACGGTCTTTGTGAGCAATTCTGCAACAATATGGCTAATGGATCTCGTGAATGCAGCTGTGCAGAAGGTCACACTCTGGGAGAAGATGGCATATCCTGTGTTCCTGCAGGTTATTTACTCTTATTTTGATAATTCACTTGCTCTTAAGTTGAACTAGGAGTCACACAATCACAAGAGAGGTTTGGATGAAGAAGGCCTTTGGCCCTTTTGATCTTATCTTTCCTGAATAATTACCCTTACTCTCCTCCCATCACAAAATCAAGCTGATTTTTATTAAACAATTCCATTGTCCTGGCTTCAACTACTTTCCTTGGCAACCTGTTCCAGTTGTTAATTACTTAATGATAATAATAAAATCCTTGAATTTGATATAGCACCTTGTTATGTCGATGTTTCAAAGCTTTTCAACAACAACAAGATTCCATTTATAAAGCGCCTTTCACGTCAGGAGGACGTCCCAAGGCGCTGCACAGTTGGGTCATGATCCGAGCAGGCGGGAAATGGTCAGGGTGAGGGGAGGGGAGGGAGCGAGGAGGGGGGAAATGGTCAGGGTGAGGGGAGGGATGGGAGGGAGCGAGAAGGGGGAAGAGAGTCGAGAGAATATATTGTAAAGAGGATTGACTCTATATTCTGTGGGTGAAATGTGACAGCTTGGTAAGAGATACTTCCTGGTATCTGTCCTGAAATTACCATTTATTGCTCTAAACTTATAATATAATAATCCTTGCATTTGATATAGCGCTTTTCACATCTTCTAGACGTCCCAAAGCGCTTCACAGAATATACTGTAAAGTGAATTGACTGTATATTTGTGGGTGAATATCCTTTCATGTTTTAAATACCTCAATCAAATTATCCTTATAGAACCTGGTTTCCAAACATTTCTTCATAGCTGAAAGCCTTCAGCCCAGGAATTAGTGAACTGGTGCTGCACATTGTCCAAGGCTACCATATCCTTCCTAGGATTGGGTGCTTAAAACTGAACACAGTGCTCCAAATTAGGTCTGACCAGCACTCTATATATTTGGAGAAACACCTCCTTATATTTGTATTCCATCTTGTAATAAATGCCAGCATCTCATTTGCTTTGTTGGCTGTTTTTTAGTACTGGTGAATTTGATTTTAGTGGTTTATAAACTTGATTCCCTAGATCTCTCAGCTCATCCATCCCTCTTAGTGTTTCCCATTTAAAACATGCTTCCAACTTCCAAATTCTTCCATGCCAAGAGTACTGCCTCACAATTTGCTATACTCCATTTGCCGTAGATTGGCCCACTTTTTTAATCTGTTCATATCTCTGGATTCTTCACCTGCCTTCTTCACAATTTGCAACAGTGCTCAGTTTAGTACCATCTTTGGATTTAGCAAACATATCTGCAAATTGTCAAATATAAAGATTATAAACTTAGAAAGGCTCGGTATAAGCGTGCACAGCCATTTGCAACTGAAGTTGGGAAGCATTTCTGTACAAATAGGGGTGTGAAGATGGGGAATGATCTGGTCGATGCATCCAAAGTTATTGTTCTTCGTTTACTTTCTCAATCCGAATTAGAGTCTTGTAAATCTCCATAAGGTCCTCTCTGAGAACTTTTCCTTTAAAAACTGAACAATCTAAGGTTGTCCAATCATTGCTCATTTTTCTAACACTGGAGATTGTCCTCAGTGGTATCCTTGCAAATAATAGGTGCACAGGGCCTTATAACACTTCCTCAGTTGTGGACCTAAAATTGGCATAGAAAGTAATGTAAAAGAGTGAGAAACATTACTAGAGAAACCAGACACGAGTTAACAAGAGTAGGATTTTAATAGTTCACATGACATATCTAACCTGCAGGAAGCACTGACAGCAGGGGTCACTGTCCACCTGCTTATTCCTCACCCAGACGCCTGCACACTGAATTAGTTGCTTTAAGCACTTAGCATTCTGTCTGTAGTTGAAAGTTTGATTGTCATAAAAGTGAAGTGTAAATCACAAATGATTCTTGAGGAAGATAGAAGACTAGGGTTTCACAGTTTTCAATATTACCATTGTTGTTTTTGATCATCAAGTGTCAGTGCACCTTCATACCTTTCAGGACAGATACTGTACCAGGAAGTTTTTCTTTACTTAGAGGGCAATTAACGATTGGAACAGGATACCAGGAAGGGTGGTTGAGGCCAGGACACTGGACGCATTTAAAAAGCAGTTTGATGCTATGTGTTCTGGGGGAATTAAATCAGATGGGTTTTCTTCAGCCAAACCAATCTTCTGATCTTGTAACCTTAACTCAGTATTCTGTGTAGTAGCATTGAAATACTGTATCAGTGAGGAACAAGAATTGGGGCAGCTTGTGGGAAACTAAGATTCAATGTTTCTTATTAAATTCAGTAAATCGTTTAATACATTTTGAGGCTGTTATGATTATTTTCACCCCATGATGGAAATAAAAAGGTTCAGAAAATGCTCAAAGTTGGAAATCTGCTGTGTAACTGTTAAGTCTGTTTCAGGGTGGGTATCACATTTCTGTCACAAATACCCAGGGGACCTCATCTTTAACTCAAGTTCACTTAGTGTTGATGTCTCGCAAATGTGCTTGACCTTCATAGGGTGCCCTGCATGAGATCCAATGACCTGAGCCTGCAGTGTGAGTGGCCACACTGGAAAAAAAAACCTTGGGCAAGTTTCCTTACTCATATGCCTCTGTTTACCTAGCAGTAAGTAGGAACCCGGTAATTAGTAGATTGGCAAATCACTCTCAGGGGGTAATAATTCCCCCCACCTAAAAAAGTGGCCACTAATTCCCCAAATGTTTGTGGGACGCTACTTTACAGGATTTACTATAAAGTGCAGTGACGATTTTATAGATGAACATCTACAAAATACCTAATAAATAAGGGTTGAAAAGTGTGCTCATTGATTATTTGAAGAATAAATGTTATCATACCCCTTTAACAGTGGAATATCCATGTGGAAAAGCACCAGTGGTGATGAAACAAAAGAAGGAGACAAGAGCAAAAGATGGAAGAATAGTGGGTGGAAGCGCAGCTTTTCGAGGAGAATTCCCTTGGCAGGTATCTATTTGATAGCATTATCAGGTCTTGTGATTCTGAGTACAGTAGTAACCATGATTCTTTATCCGAGCTGTAGTGTCCAAGAGCTAATATTGAGAGTTGCAATCTCCCACAGAATTCATAAACATTGATTACAAGACAATAACTACAAAAATGCATAGCAAAAACTGCTTAACATTTCCTGTATTACAACTGCACTACACAAACAGCTTCTTCTCCAGCCCCTGCACTGTTTCGTGCAGCATTCTTCAGGGCTTTGTCCTTGGTCTCCTCCTCTTCAATATCTCTTGGTCACATGATCTGTAGACATGGGGTCAACTTCCACCTGTACACAGATGACACCCAACTCTATCTCTCTGCCTCCACCCTTGACTCCAGTACCACAGTTGTCCTAAGAGAATGTCTGTCAGACATCAAGTCCTGGATAAGAGCTAACTTTCTACAGTTGAATGTCATCAAGACCAAGGTTCTCCTGCTTGGCTCCAGTCAGCGCCTCCACACCTCAGGCACTGACAGCATCTCCATCCATGGATGCACACTGCACCTTGGGCTTGTTTGACCCTCAACTGTCTTTCTACCCCACATCCGTGCCATGACCCTCTCTGCATTCCTCCACATCCGCAACATCGGCCGGCTCTGCTATTGACTTTCCCCTCAGAAAACATTCACGCATTTATTACATCTAGGCTCAACTATGCTAATCCCCTGTTTGTCGGCCTTCTCAACTCTTCCCTCCTCAAGCTGCAAGTCATCTAGAACTCTGTAGCCTGTGTTCTCTCCCCCACCAGGCTCTGTGACCCTATCACCTCCACCCTCGCCCGGCTCCACTGGCTTCCATTGCCCAGAGGGTGAAGTTCAAAATCCTTGTCCTCACTTTCAAGACCCTCCATGGCCTTGCTCCTTCCTACCTCTGTGACCTACTAACCCTATATCAAGTCCCTCTTCTTTGACCGCACATTCATCCACACTCCTACCCCTATCCTCCCTGCCCTCCACCCCCTTGATCCCAACCTCCTGCTCGGGTCCAAATCCCTGACTTTGCAGCACCTTGGGAGGTCCTCTTGATGTGAAAGGCGCTTTACAAATGAAATTTGTTGTTGTTGTACTGGGAATGTTTGTACTAGAGAAGAAGAAGGCTCCGACGAGATCATATTCAAGTTTTCAAAGATCTAAGTGGTATGGATAATCTGAACTGAAAATAACACAACCATAAAACCCACAACAAAGAGATGTTGGATAAAGTACTGAAGAGCTCTGTTGCCAATCTAAGTTTATCCACTTGATATAAAGAGAAACAGAACAGATTGTACAAAAAGACAGTGGAGGCAAATTCTCTAGATTGATTTTTGCTGTAAGAAGCAATGTAAGGGGTGAAGTATTTTATAGAATCCTAGAAATCATCGCATAGGAGGGTCCTTTTAGCTCATCAAGCCTTTACTGGTCTTAGCTCCTACACTGCATCCTCAATTCTGCTGAAGGCAGGGATTCCTTCCACTCAGCAACTATTAACCTGCAATCCAAAGTCCTAACAACAACAGCAAAATTACATTTGTATGGTGCGGGAAGGGTGGTCCCAGCTGGACAAGCAGCGGGAAAAGTTGCCGGACAGCAATATCAATGGAAAGCTATGTGGTTTTAGCTGGTTAGACTCCAGCAATACCCTAACAAACACATTGGGATCCCCGATCCTTAGCTCTTGCCAACCTGCGCCTAATACTCTCCGGAATTAGGTAAACAGAATGCTTCCAGGTAGGTGCACATTCCATTCCAACAATCTACCTCTGGAGTTTCCATGTGTAGGTGGGATGCATGGAAACTTAGCTTGATTTGGATACTTTTAAGCATGGGATGGGTTTCTGCATGTGTCGGACACCTGGCTGACCAAAGTAAAATTCTCTTCAGTGTTTATCCAATGCCCTTTTTTCTTTCACTTTTGGGAATGGGCAATCTTTCATTGCGAAGGCTCACTTCTTGTTTCCTCCATCAGTTACAATTTACTTTTCTTTGTCCACAGGCACTTTTGACTGAGGAAGGAAAAGCAATCTGTGGTGCTGTTTTACTAAATCGTCAGTGGGTTGCAACTGCTGCTCACTGTCTCTTTAAAGGTCATATACGAAAACCAATTGAACGGTTACAGATAATAGTTGGTACGTACATACCTTGCATAGCTGCCATAATAACACTGCAAGCTTATAATTCAGTAAGTAGGAACCTTTTTTTAGTCAATTGGGAGATAGCTTTTCTGGGGGTAATAATCCTATCAAAATAAGTAAATAATAGAAAAATAAAAATTAATTAGAAAAATTAATAGAAAAATTAATAGAAAATTAGAGATCATTGAAGGTGGTAATAGCGGGCCTACTGCCTGTACCATACGACAATTGGTACAGGAACAAACAAATTAAGGACTTGAACACATGGCTAAAAGAGTGGTGCGGAAATCAGGGGTTTCTTTTTATGGGTCATTGGCACGAGTATTGGGGGAAAAGAGAACTCTTTCGGAGAAAAGGGCTACATTTAAATCGTGCTGGAACAAATGTCCTAGCTAAACGAATTAACAGGGAAATAAATAGGAATGTAAACTAGTAAAGTGGGGGAATATATAGGTAAGAGACACCATAAGTTAGCACTAGAAAAAGTAAAGATGACAGTGCAGAATAGCATGCCAGATAATAGGAATATGTTAACCAGGGGTAAGAAGCTTGGCAAAGTAGATAAGGAATCAGAGAGTAGAGGAAATGGTAGGAATTTTTTTTTTTTTATCTGAATGTGCAAAGCATTCGGAATAAAACTGATGAATTAAAAGCACAGATAGACACATATGGGTACGATCTAGTAGCCATCACTGAAACATGGTTGCAAGGAGATCTAGGGTGGGAGTTAAATATTCCAGGGTTCTCAGTTTACAGGAAAGATAGGCACTGTGGGAGACGAGGTGGGGGGGTTGTAGCCCTGTTAATTAGGGATGAAATAAAAGCAGTGGAGAGGAAGGATCTTAAATCCGATGACCAGGAGGTCGAGATAATATGGGTGGAAATCAAAAATAATAAAGGGCAGAAAATATTAATGGGAGTGGCTTATAGACCCCCAAACAGCGTTCACAATATAGCACAGGGTATCAATCAAGAAATCAGTGGAGCATGTAGGAAAGGTAAAGCGATAATAGTGGGTGATTTCAATCTCCACATAGATTGGAAAAACCAAATCAGCAAAAGTAGGTCAGAAGAAGAGTTCATTGAATGTATGAGAGATAACTTTCTAGAGCAGCATGCCGAGGAACCAACTAGGGGACAGGCCATCCTAGACCTGAATCAGTGGATGTGGTCTATTTGGACTTCCAGAAGGCATTCAATTAGGTGCCGCATAAAAGGTTAGTCCAAAAGATAAGGGCCCATGGAATTGGTGGGAGCATATTAACGTGGATTGGGGAATGGTTAACGGGTAGGAAACAAAGAGTAGGGATAAACGGGTGCTTTTTGGATTGGCGGGATGTGACTAGTGGAGTGCCACAAGGATCAGTCCTTCGGCCTCAGCTATTTACCATCTACATCAACGATCTAGATGAGGGCATCGAAGTTAATATATCTAAATTCGCGGATGACACAAAACTAGGAGGAAGTATCAACACAGAGGACGACATTAAAAAATGCAACGAGACATAGATAGGTTAGGTGATTGGGCAGGTAGTTGGCAGATGAAGTATAATGAAGGGAAGTGCAAAGTCATCCACCTAGGTAGCAAAAACAGTAGAGCGGGTTATTTTTTAGAAGGGGAGAGATTGGAATGTGTTAGCGTCCAGTGGGATATGGGTGTCCTTGTACACCAATCACAGAAAGTTAGTCTGCAGGTGCAGCAGCAATTAGGAAGGCGAACGGTATGTTAGCATTCATTATGACAGGATTAAACTGTAAGAGTAGGGAAGTCTTGCTGCAACTGTATAGGGCCCTGGTGAGACCACACCTGGAATGCTGTGTGCAGTTTTGGTCTCCTTACTTAAGGAAGGATGTACTTGCCTTGGAAAGGGTGCAGCGTAGATTTACTAGGTTAGTACCAGGGATGAAGGGGATGAGTTACGAGGATAGGCTGACCAATTTGGGCCTATATTCTCAAGAATATAGAAGAATTAGAGGGGATCTTATAGAAACCTATAAGATCATCAAAGGGTACGATAGAGTAGATAGTGGGAGATTGTTTCCCTGGTTGGAGAAACTAAGACCAGGGGTCACAACCTTAAAATCAGAGGCCAGCCCTTCCCACTGAGTTGAGGAAGAACTTCTTCACTCAAAGGGTGGTGAATGTATGGAACTCACTACCCCAAAGGGCTGTTGCCGCTCAGTCCTTGAACATATTCAAGACTGAGATAGATATATTTCTTATTGCAAAAGGGATTAAGGGATATGGGGATAAGGCAGGGTTATGGTATTAGCTGGAGTTAGATTAGAAGATTAGCCATGATTGAATGGTGGGGCAGAATCGAAGGGCCGAATGGCCTACTCCTGCTCCTACATGTTATGTTATGTTAAAATTAATAGAAAATTAGAAAAATAAATAGAAAAATAATAATTTGTTAACTCAATCTATGTGGGATGCTGCTGTCCACAATTGGTTTCTGCATTTTGCCAACAAAATATATAGTCAATTCACTTTACAGTATATTCTGTGAAGTGCTTTGAGGTGACTGGAAAACGTGATAAGGCACTATAGCAAATGCAAGGATTATTATTATTTCCCAGGTGTGAGCCTGGCTGGGTCACTCAGTCAATCCCTTTATTGGCTGTTTGTGGAACATTTCTGTGCGGAACTCGCTGATGCATTCGCTTGGAAAACACACAGTCACAGCACTTTTACGGTGAAATCCTGTGAAGCGCTTTGAGACATGAAACGCAAGGATTAGTATTCGAATAGCAAGCAGATCAAGCATGCACTTGATTTGCTCCAAGAAAGTTACCGTCTACCAGCTAATATTAATAATCCTTGCATTTGATATAGTGCCTTATTATGTTGTCAAGATGTTTCAAAGCGCTTCACATAATATACTGTAAAGTGGATTGTGAGCAAAACACAGTAGCCAATTGAACACAGAAGAGGGGATTTGCCTATCACAAATCAGGGCACTCCCAGGGCTTTTGTGGAGCCGGGAGAGGACATGCAAGGAAACTATGCAAGAGAGAGAAGTGTCTGCTGCCGTTGCTATGGTAACTACACAATCCAGTCGCAGTCACAAAGAAAGCAGTGTGTGTGTTATTGTGTCTGGACCTTTCGAGCAACTTGCTTCAAAGCTAACCTTGAATTCATCCAGCGCTGATTAAACCCAAATTCTCCTGACACATGGAGAGGTAAACATCCTCAATGTTGCTGTCAGTCATGAAGCAACTCTGGTCTCCATTTTTTTATCAGTGATAATAATAATTACCCTTGCATTTAATATAGTGCCTTATCACATCGAGACGTTGCATCATTGAAGACGTAATAAGGCACCAGATAAATGCAATGATTATTATTATGAGATGAGGGACTTTCTCTCAGTTATGAACCCTGCCATACTCTTTTGTAGAATATAATAAAATAATCCTTGTATTTGACATAATGCTTTTCACATCTTCTAGACGTCTCAAAGTGCTTTACAGATATACTGTAAAGTGAATTGACTGTACATTTATGGGCGAAATGTGGCAGCCAATTGCACATAGCAGTGTCCCACAAACAGTCGTGGATTGAAGATCAGTTTTTGTGAGACTCCCTTGATAGGCAGAACAAATAATTGACGATTCTTGGTTTATAATAATAATAATAATAATCCTTGCATTTGATATAGCGCTTTTCACGTCGGGAGGATGTCCCAAAGCGCTTCACAGAACACACTGTAAAGTGAACTGACTGTATATTTGTGGGCGAACGCGGCAGCCAATTGCGCACAGCAATGTCCCACAAACAGTCGTAGATTGAAAATGACCAATTTTTTTTATTATTGTTTTTGGTTTTGGAGGGATTATTATTAGGCGTGCGGAGTAAGGAAACTTGCCCAAGGTTTCGCCCTGCCTGGAATTGAACTCAGGTCTCTCTAACTGAGTGCTCTAACCACTGAGCTACAGGACTCCAAACTTCATAACTGGAAGGCCACCAGCAACACCTTTAACGTTGAAACAATAATCAGTTAGAGACAATAGACACAAGACGAAATGCGTTGCCAATAATAAAGTTATTATTGCCAATAATAAAGTTATAATAAAGTTATTATTGCCAATGCATTTAATAACTATCTTTTCATTATCAGTTAAAATCAAAAAAAACAAAAATGTGTTTCACAGGATTTACTTGAAAGTGTAATGATTATGTATGTGTAAGGGAACTCAGCAGCCAATCTCATACACCGTGTAAAGCAGAAAAAAATGACTTATTATTCATACTCAGCATCAACAGGACTAGTTAAAGGAGGAGAAAAAAGTAAAAAATAGAGTTGGTCTGATAAGCACAACAGTATCTGTTTTTTTTAATACTGGAGCAACAAAAGGTTCATGCTTAAAGCAATTCACCAAAAATGGTCAGTATTTCAAACATAGATACCTGAGGCATGAGCCAACACTACTGGAAAACAATGGAAACAGAGTTAAAGTCAGACCACGGGAAGAAAACTTTCACAAGAGTTTGAACCCCTGATTCTATCTAAGGAATGCTAGCAATGCAGCACCACTGAGGTGTGGAATGTCAAACGAAATGGTTAAATTTGTAAATAAATTATTATGTGAAATAGTAGTAACATCTATGTTATGGCGCAATGTGAATCTTCCAAAGTTAATAGGTCAATTTTAATATGAAATTTTATCCCTTTTTAACAGTGTTAATTTGAAACATTAAAAAGTTAGATACAGTTTGTTCTAAACTATGATACCTTTCTGTCCAAAGGTGAACACAAACAGTCTGAAGAAGAAGGCAGTGAACAAAGAAGGAATCTGTCTGAAGCTATTGATCACGAGAACTTTAACAAGAAGACAATTGACCATGACATTGCGGTGCTGAAACTAGAATCCCCGATAGTGTTTGATGATTACGCAGTTCCGATCTGCTTGCCTGAGCCCAGGTTTGCTGTGCGTGAGCTGATGCAGATTCTGTATTCCACAGTGACTGGTTGGGGAAGGCGAAGTGAGGCAGGTCTGGGATCCAACATACTGCGAAAACTTCAAATACCATTTGTTCGCAAGTCTTTGTGCTCCCCAACTACCAATTATAACATAACGGACAACATGTTCTGTGCTGGCTACAAGGATGCATTCCTAGATTCTTGTTCAGGAGACAGTGGGGGACCGCTTGCCACACAATATAAGGGCACTTGGTTTTTGACTGGAATAGTGAGCTGGGGAGAAGGCTGTGCTCGGCAAGGCAAATATGGAATTTATACTAAAGTTTACAAGTTCGTTGAATGGATCAATCAACATATTAATCGTAATAGTTCCTCAGCTCTTTCTCAAATTTCCGGTAACCACACATCTGTGCAATAAATATCAAATTGCTTCTTAAATAATATATATAATAATCCTTGCATTTAATATACCACCTTATCACGTTTTCGAGACGTCTCAAAGCGTTTCACAGAATATATTGTAAAGTGAATTGACTGTATATTTTGTGACTAAAACGCAGGAGCCAATTGTGCACAGCAGTGTCCACAAACAGTCATGGGTTGAGTGACCAAATTATTATTATTTAATTATTGAGATTTAATTTCAAATAACTGTCTGACAATGCTTTAATGTAACCATTGTTCAATAAACCATTCAATTTGCCAGGGAAAAGAATCAAATAACTTGAATATTGATTTTCTTCACTAACAGCTTTAATTCTGATTTTAGAATTTGTTTATTTTATGCCTGTTTTCAGGTTGGGAAAATTAAGAAAGCAATACAGCCACATTTCCAGCATCCACATAACTATAGCTGCAAATTGTACCCGATGAGGTATTATTGGTGCCGAAGCTTTCAACCACAGTACCCTCTGTAACTCCCTACTTCCACCATAAATCACACTGCCTCATTATCTCCTTTGTTTTTACAACTCTAAGAACTCCCTTATCGATGGGGCTTTCAGTCACTCGATCCTATCGCCCTGTGCCCCCACTTACCATTGTACTCCGACTTCCACACCACCCTGTGAAGCATTTAGATGTTAACTTATGTGAAACGCTCTATATAAGTGCACACATTGTGATTTCCATGTGTAGGTACGATGCATGGAATTCTCAATTTGGTTTGGATACTCTTAAGCATGATGATGGGTTCCTCATGTATCAGATTCCCAGCTGACCCCCCAAAAATACATATTTAATACAGTATGTTATATATTTGCTCGTTTTCACTGCTGTATAATTATTTGTGTGCTAAGTTAATGTATTGTTAGGTGATGAATATCAACATACATTTCATAGAATCATAGAATCATAGAATTGTACAGCACAAAAAGAGGCCATTCGGCCCATCGAGTCTGTGCCGGCTCTTTGAATAGAGCAATTATGTCAATCCCACTTCCCAGCCCTTTCCCCATAACCCTGCAAACCCGTCCTCCTCAAATACCCAAAATTTACATGAAAATTTACATTTACATTATCAAAACTGTGTGGTTTATTCTACATTTTCTCCAATGCTTATTGATCATGTATGAAAAACCAATCATAAAAACATTCTAGCCAAAGTGGTCTATTTTATGTCAGAAGTGAAATGTTCATTTGTTCTATTATTGGGACGTCCTCCCGACGTGAAAAGCGCTATATCAAATGCAAGGATTATTATTATTATTATTACAGGATTAAAGGTGCATCTTTACTTTTCTAGGAATACAACCTCCATGGCATTCTTTTCAAACGATAAAAAAATAATTTTACACTAAGAAAAACTCAAATGTATACAGTGTGCCCTTTTCAGAAATTATTGTCATTTTAGCTTTATGTGTGTCAGCCTGGCTCAGTTTGTAGCACTCGTGCCTCTGAGTAAGAAGGTTATGGGTTCAGGCCCCTCTTTGAGCATTGAACCTGTATAGTAGTTTGATACTCTAACTAGCTCAGGGTTGCGTGAGTACTTCTTTGTGAGAGGTGCCGTTCTTTGGATGAGATGTCAAACTGAGACGTCATCTGTCTGTTTAGATGGACATTAAAGGTCCCATAACACAATTCGGTTTGAGACGTTCTCCCAAAGTGAAAGGTGTTAAATTAAATGCAAGGATTTTTTTAATTGTATATTTTCCATGGAGTTTCAGCAGGCATTATGATTTGGTAGTATAACTTTTGTGAGCTCTGTATTATAGAGCATTATAGCTACACATGATCAAAATCATTTCTAAAGTAAAATGCAATGTAATCTGGAAGAAAGAAGACTAGCCCATAGAATAGTGCATAATCCAATCCTTACTGATCTTTTAACGTTTGGCAGCTACCCAACGAGAGAGCTCCAAAAAGATGCATTTAACTATTTCAAATTCTGTAGGATTTTCAAGTTAGGTGGTAAATATTCAGTAGTTTTCAATTTTCGCCTCAAATTACTCTTGTCCTTAATATGTTCTGGTACTAAGCTATGAAGTATCCAAATAATTTCAAATGGATTGTTAAATTTTGCTCATAAATGATGAACTGCTAATTTTGAATAGTGTTATTAAAGGACAGAAAACTTCTCAAATGTAACTTGGATTTGTTTGTCTTTTCTGATCAAAATACTTTTTATTAAAGCTCTGCCTTTGGAGGCATTGCTCTTGATATTTCAAAGCAAGGCTAGTGCATAGTTTGAGATTTTTCAAAGCCTGCTTATGGCACTGTGAATGTAAAAATAATCCTGATTATAATAATAATAGTCCTGAACATAGTGTTTTGGACATAACTGAATCTAAATACCATTTATTTTGGAGTGTCATTAAATGCACAATTCAAATCTATTGAAAAAAATCATTGTATTTAACATGGTTGCTCGATTCATCAATATTGGATTTAGACCCACAGTGTATAAACTGATCACTTAATCACCATTGGGGGTTTCAGTTCATCTTGAATGTTTTCCTGTGGTTGCATAAGAATGAATGTGTTTGTTTTTCTGGTGGCTCCAACATTCATTAACAAGACCTGTTTGCTTTTCCTCTTTCATATCTGTTTACTGAGGTTAAACACAAAACAGAAATTACGCTGATAATGAAGCCCAAGAATCTCTGCTATTTACCTCACTCTCCACCTGTAAATGTTTGAGGGCATTACTCTGCTCCAATACAATAGTGGATTCTGCAGCACAGATTCAAATTTCCAACAAAAATGATGTTCAATGTTTGCATTCATAAGGTTATCATTTTACACCAGAACAATACATGATTCCAACTGAGGGCCATTTATACACATCTGCTGTCTGATATGTACGGAAACCCAGCCATCACCATACCTAATAATAATAATAATAATCTTTGCATTTGATATAGCACCTTATCATGTCTTTGAGACGTCTCAAAGTGCTTCACAGAATATATTGTAAAGTGAATTGACTATATTTTGTGGGCAAAACACAGCAGCCAATTGTGAACAACAGTGTTCCACAAATAGTCGTGGATTGAAGTGACTGATTTTTTTTTGAAGGAATTATTACCCCTGGAAAAGAGATCCACCAATCGACTAACAACCGGGTTGCTATTACTGCTAGGTAAACAGAGGCGTGTGGAATACGGAAACTTGCACAACATTTCGCCCTGTCAGAAATTGAACCCAGGTTTCTCGCTTGCGAGGTGAGTGCTCTAACCACTGAGCTAGAGGACTCCACACAAAGGTATTCAAACCAGACATGTGTATGCTACCTACATGAAAATTTCCCGTAGTTCATTTTCTATGCTCCGCCCCTCCATCAGAGAAAGGATTTATTGGCCAGGACATCAGAAGAAACTCCCTACTCTTTCAAATACTGCCGTGGATTTGTTAATGTCTACCTAAACAAACAGATGGGACTTCAATTTAATGTCTCAACTAAAATATGGCACCCCCAACACTGCACTGAAGTCCTGAAAGCCAGATTTGAAACCACACCCTTCTGACCCAAAGGAAAGAGCACCACAATCTGAAACAAGCCTTCTATGGCCTTGCATCCTATAGGTGGACTTTAAAATCCCTTGCTATTATTTGAAAAGATAACAAAACAAATTACATTCATAGAGCGCCTTTCATGTCGGGAGGATGTCCCAAAGCGCTGAACAGTCAGATGTTGGGGCCCGAGCATGGGGGAGGGGTGGTGTAGGGGTGAGGGAAGGCAGGGAGGTGTGAGGGAAACCAAAGGCACAGTCAAAGAGAAGGGTTTGAGACCAGTCTTGAAGGAGGCAAGGGAGGAAGCAAGGTGAAGGGACCGTGGGATGGAGTTCCAAAGTGTGGGGGCAGAGAGGCTGAAAGCGCGGCCACCGATGGTAGGGCGAGTCAGGTGGGAGACATGGAGCTGGCGGAAGCCTGATGAGCGGAGGGAGCCTGATGAGCGGAGGGAGCGGGCAGATTGGTAGGGAGTCAGCAGGTCAGAGAGGTAGGAGGGTGTAAGGCCATGGATGGCCTTAAAGGTGAGGACGAGGATCTTGAATTCAATCCTCTGGGGGGTGGGGAAGCCAGTGGAGTCGGGCGAGGGTGGGAGTGATGGGTTCATGGAGCCTGGTGCGTGAGAGTACAGGAGCTGCAGTTTTAGATGATCTGCAGCTTGTGAAGGGAAGAGTTGGGAAGGCCGATGAGGAGAGAGTTTTCGTAATCGAGCCTTGAGGTGAGGGTTTTGGCAGCGGAGGTGGTGGTAGGCAATGCTGGTCATGGTGCGGATGTGGGGAAGAAAGGACAGTTCAGGGTCAAACAAGATACCCAGGTTCCTGATTGGCTTAGTGAGGTTGAGTGTGCAGCCATGGAGGCTGATGCTGCCAGAGCCTGAGGTGCAGAGGCGCTGGCGCGAGCCAATCAGGAAGACCCCGGTCTTGCTGACGTTGAGTTGGAGAAAGTTGGCCCTCGTCCAGGAAAACGTCAGAAGGGAGTTGCTCTTGTTATCATCAGTCAGTCACTCAGCAGCTGTTTATCGTATGTTGCGGTGTGAAAATTGACTGCTATGCTTGCCACAAAGTACACCGTCAATCCACTTCATAATAGATCCTGTTATGAGCCTCGAGACATTCTTCTGAAGTGAATGGAGCATTATCAAATACTACGCTATTTATAACAATGATAAACTAGGTATCTCCAAGAATGGATAGAAATTCTGTCTAAAACCTACGTCTTCACTTGAAGGTACGCAGCCAGTTGAACATAGAATCCCTCATGTGCAGCTGCATTACTGCTCCTACAAAGGAAGCCATTAGCAAGCTAAGGTGACCAGGAGAGGAGCAGATGTACTTTGATGGCTATCAGGAGCCACCCAACGATGAGGCAATTATCTACAAGAAGGAAGACACATCAGCTTATAAGCATTAGATGACATCTTCTGCCTTGTTTATCATTTTTGAAGTGCTCTGAGATGTCTCGAAGACATGATAAGACACTATATCAAATGCAAGGATTATTATTATTATTATATCTTGAGGGCAAAATCAAACCCAAAGCCTGGGTTCAATTTGCATTATGTTCTATTTAAAGCTGGCTGTAAGGATTAAATGGTAACACAATCAAGGAAACATTTTTTATATTTTATATCTGATTTATATAATTAAAAAGAAACTTTTTACTGTGGTTTCTTCATGTTAAATTGGGACTGATTGTCTCAGTTGTCTTTCCACAATCTGTAAGGTTCATTCTTTTTGAATGATGAAAATAATAGCAGACAACATAAAGAGTTGCTTTACAAGTCACAAAAAGTCAAATTTAGGTAGTTTCATGTCCATACTGTGTAAAAGGTTATACATAAGTTTATATCAATATACATCAGAATGACAATTAGGACAATGGAAGGAGTGCTGCAATCTGTCTACCTGACTCACCTTTGACAAATATCAGATACCCAATTTGAATGCACTGTGTCACACCCACTTGCTGAAGGGAAGGTGATTATGCCACATGACGCCATTCCCTCTATGCCACTGCTTCAGAATTTCCACTTTCCTGGGCACAATGTTTGGTTAGGTCCTGGTGAACCTAAGAGGTGTAGAGGAGCAAAGAGATCTGGGGATTCAGATCCACAAATCTCTAAAAGTAGCTCACAGGTAAATAAGGCTAATGGTGTCCTGTGCTTTACATCCAGAGCAATGGAATATAAAAGTGATGTTGAATTTATCAACAAAGCCTTGGTTAGACCACATTTGGAGTGTTTTGTCCAATTTTGGTCTCCACAATGTAAGAAGGATAATAATCCCTACAAAAGGATTGTTTTAAAATAAATTGGTCACTCAATGTATGACTGTTTGTGGGACACTGCTGTGCGCAATTGGATGCCACATTTCGCCCACATAAATAATACAGTCAATTAACTTTAGAGTATATTCTGTAAAGTGCTTTCAGATGTCTCGAAGACGTGATAAGGCGCTATATCAAATGCAATGATTATTATTATTATTATAATAAGAATATAGCAGCGATTGAAAGAGCACGATACCAGGGCTGGCAGGTTACCACCATCAGAATAGACTGGAGTGGTTTGGGCTTTTCTCGTTAGAGAAGAGACATTTAAAGGAAAGATCCACTTAACCGGAAGATCTAATAGGTATATTTAAGATTATAAAAGGGCTCAATAAGATTAACATAAATAGGCGGTTTCCACTGGTAGAGCAGTCCATAACCAGAGGACGTGGACAGTCCTTGTCAGTTTGTAATCTGCTTTTGGTTAGGGTCACTAGCTGTCAATATTCTCTCCTTATGGTAAATTTACCAACGTTTCCATTCTAAGGATCTAAGTCCCCTTGCTTGCACCATGATAAAGAACGCCTGGAAGCTGCAAGCCCTTGGCTAACATTCTTTGCACTAATTGTGGTGGGTTCTTTGATTACTAAGAACAGGAGAGACAGGATTCACACATCTCCTTAACCCTCTTTAACATTGCAACTCTTAGCTCTTCCGGCTTTCTGAAGGCAGACTTAAATCTATCGCTTTTATTCAGCCTCTGGAGTCAAATGATGTTTGCATATTCTCAATAATATATAATTCTTGCATTTGATATAATGCCTTATCATGTCTTCGACACATCTCAAAGCACTTTTGTGGGCGAAATGGGGCAGCCAATTGCACGAACAGTTATGGGTTGAGTGACCAATTTATTATTTTATTTGTTGAAGGAATTATTACCCCCGGAAAAGCGATCCGCCAATCGACTAACAACCGGGTTCCTATTTACTGCGAAGTAAACAGAGGCGTGTGGAGTAAGGAAACTTGCCCAAAGTTTCGCCCTGCTGGGAATCAAACCCAGGTTGCGAGGTAAGTGCTCTAACCACTGAGCTACAGGACTCAAACAATCACTAAACATTTTCTTGGCTTTTCTCTGCTATTGAAATAAAGGTAGTGGAGTCCGGAAGCTATGCTTGGCAATGAGGGGACTTTGCTCACTCTGGTGCTCTAATGCTTAGCTCTTGAATCAGATCTCCTATATACAGAGGCAGCTGGAGATCCAACTTGAAGTCAGGAATGAGCAGATTGGGAGCTGGGAAAAATGGTGATTTTAACGTATTAGTTCCCGCTGCCTCTGAAGCAGACTATACTAATAACAATTTCA